TTTACCACATCATCAGATTAGTTGGCCACTCTGTATCTCTCCAAAAAAACATAATATAATAAACAAAATGTTTTATCCGTGGCAACCATGGAAGTTATTTGCAAAGACAGCCACTTCCCAGATGTGTGAAGCTGTGACAGATGCTGAAGCACCGAGCCAAAATGTACTTGAAAAATGAAACATCTGTCAAATGTTTTTAAAGACTCGGCTGCACTCCCTAATTTCCCTCTAAAATGTTTCCCATTGCCTGATTTAAAGCCTTCCATTTAAATATCATGGCGCGCTTGCTGACGGGTAAACAAGGGATGGTGATAGCTGGAAGATGTGCGCTGACTGGACCCTGTAACAGAGACAGACCTCAAAGTCTTTCACAAAGCAACGTAGCTTTCTGGTTTCAATTCTGAATAAGTGTTCTGTGAACGACGAGCGGTAGGTGATAAGCTCTTTCTCTAACTCCATTTCAGCGCGGTGTTTAACTGTTCTCATCTGTGTTAGAACATTCCTAACCCCCTTTAAATGTGTCTTACCCACTTTCTCTATATCCCTGTTTTTCAATGCGGGATCCTTTTTCTCTCTCTTTCTGCATCACAGTCACTCTGTCTCTCTCTCTCACACACACCCTCTCTCACACACACCCTCTTCCTGAGAAGTAGGAACATTCCTTGCATCAGCCAGAATCCCATATTAGAGAATCAGCACTCTGCCTGTGTGAGAAAAACAGGCTGAGAAAAAGATGGTGGTGTTCAAGTATTTATGTGCATGTGCGTGCAGGTGTGTATGTGTGTACAATATTCTCCAGAGCACATGTCAACAGGTGAGATGACAGTGTCAATGACATCTGCCTACTTAAAGTGTTTGCTTGACAACAAAGAGATTCATTGGAGGCCGACTTATGCCAGGAATGTCGCCGGAATGTTTGAGTGTGTGTAGAATGAATGGCATGTTGCTTATGTAGGTACATACCGCGAAAAATGAATGCAGTTAGATGGTATGTATGTAAGCGCTGCACCAATCAATGTTCAATCAAACTGGAGCTGCATCCTCCAAACAAAATGCTCAATTATGGTATGCCAGGGAAAGGGGAAGGTCATGAAAAGAATCAGGAAGATCAATGCATTCATCAAGATTGAGTGGATATACATCATGCATGTCTCTCTTGCTGCAGAGGAGTACAATGTAAGCCGAGGGAGGATTTACATGAATTTCCCCCATGATGCTGCAGTGTGAAAAAGCCTATTAATGTCGCCTGATCAGAGCCATAAGGTTTGATTTCCAATAAGCTGCACTGAAATTGTTGCTGAATAATCACACGGCTAATAAAGTTCAGGAAAGCTGTATTATCAAAGGAATAATACACATAAAGTAAAACATCAAATAGCCTGATAGCGCCTCCTTTACTTCGTCTAGAGACTCCGTTTTTACACCTTTGACAACTGACCTTTCGCAGATCTGGGAAACAAGACAGACATGTGTTTGCAAATATTGGAAGACAGACATGTGACGTGTGGGTGCTTTACTGGTTGATACCCTTCATTAGAGAATATCTAACAGCAGTTTGCAGGGTAATGACAGACTGTCTGTGGCTGGGAATGTCCCAGCAGACACACACAGCCCCTGGAGACGCCTCTAAAGATGGAAAAGCACACGACAACAATAATGAGGATGCACAGGTTTATCCTTTCATCTGTTCATTCCAGATAGGGGGAGACGAGTATGTGGACAAACACACGGTGGACAGAGGTAGCTCAACACAGCTGTTCAGCAGGGAGCAGTGAAGTAACTGACAGCGGGAATCGATGCAGAGGGTCGATGGACAAACGTTAAGTCCACAAGCTGACAAACACAGCAGACAGCCCTCACAATGCAGCACGGACAGAAGGCCTTTACACGGGCTGCCAAGCATAAACAGATCTCTACCGGGACAACAGCGCTAATGCCACTGCGCTGACAGCTAAAGGTGTCTGCAGTAAGGCAGGTAAAACAACAGGTAGTGGCTAACAAGAGGTGGTAAACACAGAGCCAAGTTACCCTGGATTAGTATGTTATTTAGTTTAACTGACATGTTTACTTTTAAGACCAAATTAAACACTTTGAGTAGCCTATACCCCCTTTTGATTAGAGAAGTTATTGCCTTAATGTCTGACTGAAAGCTTCCTTATCAAAAATATGTTTGCATACATTTGGGTGTGTGGATGTGCTTCAAGTGACAAAATGAAAAGGTAAACTTGGATGGAGTGGTGAAATATAACAAATCAAGATGTCACAATAGGATTTTTGGATTTGATAGGTATGGCATTGACACAGATTATATGATGCATCCTTTGACCCATAATTACTTTTGGAAGAATTGCATTTACCCCTCAATTTACAGAAGTGTGTTGACGTTTTAGTGGCTACAGACTTTACTAACATACTTAACGTTTGTTTTTCTTTAAATGTGTCACTCATCTGTTTATAAGCACTAGGAATTCCAGTTTCCCAACATAGCAATTTGAGATAACACACTCCACTACCGCTTTGTTTGCTGCTTTATCCAGCAAAGTTGAAGGTGGCAGCAGCTCTACAGAAGCAAAGGAGGGCTGTGAGGTAGGATGTTGAAAACAAGGCTTTAAAAAGGAGAAGCGGTTGTGATTAGGAAGGCCATCGTAGCTGGTGATCTTGCACTGCAGCAACAGTGGAAACATGCTGTCCATGAGGAGAGTGATATCCTGTCTTCCACATCCCTCTCCCTCCCCTTCCTGCCACCGCTGTGCTTTCCCCCTCCACTAACCTGAACGTATAGATCCGATAAGCCATCCCAGTATTTGGCTGACACTACCTAGCTAAATACATTGTGCCTGCCTGACGACAGAAACACACACACACACCGATCAACCAGTAAACAGTTAACATCTGAACGCCCCTTTTAACCACCACAATCTGCTCTCCCACCCCTGCTGCTCTCATGTCCTTGGTCGTGGGCAGGGACGACACCAATGAACTGTGATCAATGGACAAGCCTCGGCACAAATGGATCATGTAATCGCAATCTGTGTTTAAAAACCATGCACACACACACACCAACACACAGAGATTTGCAGCATGAACGGTCGGCGGTGCACACCAGCAGCAGAGACACGCAGGAGACAGAGGGGAGAGAAAACGCCCTGCCTTGTTCCATGTCGAAACCCCAGCCCTTTGGGTACTGTGCAAAACACACACATACCACCTTCACATACGCTTTTCTTTAGAGACCACATAGAGACCACATCTGGACAACAACACTGATTTCTGAGCGGGATTTTTTTTCGTGTCTTTGTTGGCCATCTGTGTGAGGCGAGCGATCACACGCTTGAAGACACGCTGGTCATGATGTTCTAGTTATGTTCGGAATTGTTGATGTATTATTGATCTTCCACGTCCACATATTGACATTAGTATCCTTAAATGGTTGGTGAAATACAAAGCAAGCGTACCCCTGATTTACGCCTGATATGAGAGGTTGAGGGTACAGAAAAACCATGCAATCAGCCAAGTCAAGGAAAACACATCATTCAGTAGGAAAACACATATTTAGCAGCATATTTCTTAAGCGTGGGATACAAATGATCACGTGGGAAGCTTTAAAAAAGGTTTACCTTTAACTTGAGTGTCATATTCGGCCACTATCTCCTTTTCCTTTCGGAATTTCGCCGGAGACGTCATGGCTGAGTTTGGAGATCAAACCGCTTGCCCCCTCGTAGCGAAGTCAATTTAGTCTCAATCAGTCCAAAAAAAAAAATAGCCTTTAACGGGGGGAATGCCACTCTCGGGTAGGTTTCGATGAGAAAAAGGAAGCACAGATGAGAGATTGCAGCTCCTCAGTGGACCCGCGGATCTGTATTGTCTCCCTGCTGCCTCTGTTCACTCCGGCGCATTGTGAGTTTGGCGCTGCTGCTGCTCTGTGTTCCCATCCGCCGCCGCGCCTCGCCGCCTCCTCAAAAAACCGGTTGTGGTGCAAACAACTTCAAGTGAAAGGAGATTCATCCCCTTCTTAAGAAACAAACAGTGGTAGTATGTCAGTCAGCGCTTCAAAAAGTTTGTTTTATATATTTGCCATTATGTGTCTCGTGGCTGTCCGTCCGCCTGTCTAAACTAAACTGCTCTCCTCTCCCCCCTCCTGAAGTGAGAGAGAGGAAGAACCGAGGGGAGATGGAGGGGCTGGCTGCTCAGTGCGCAGGACAGGCAGGGATGCACACATGGATATTATTCATTCGGCTACATAAAATAAATGTGTTGCAGGCAGTCCCCTAAGTGCATGTAACAAGTCCCATTGGGATGTGTTTTGTTTGACAATGTGATTCGATATATAAATAGCACTAATTGCAAGTTGGGGGTATTGTGGGCTATTCCTGGGTGTGTAAAGTGAGCAAAAAAGTCTAATAGCCACTTTATATATGGTTTCAGTAACATTATGGTGGCTGAGGAGAACGTGTGTCTTGCATGTGTCATTCTGCAGAATTTAAATCCGTATTACGTAAACAAAACGGCAAATAAGATAGTTAGTAATGTATAGCTAATGTTAGAAGAAATTCCCTAACCTTTGCGGATATCTATGTCAACTGATAATATAATTTGACATAACGGGAATGCATTAACCTTGTCTCGTGTTTCGACAGCGACCATTTCTCATATAAAACAGTGTTATTTAAATAGTCTATTTTAAAGGCAACCCTCCTCCTGAAAGTAAGTATCAACTTTTTGAAAATCTACGACACAGCCCCGCCCCAGTTTATAGGACATCAGTACTTCCCACACCATGATTGGCGTAACTAATTTGAATGACATGCAAGCATACTAATCGGCTTTCAGCATTTTTGAAGGTGGGCGTTTCAACTGTGTTTTATAACCAATGATATTCAGACTTTCTAATGAGGGTGGCCAATGACATCGGTTACTATGAAGTTCAGCCAATCAGAGTCAGATGTAGGATCTTTTAAAGATAGTTTCCGGAAGTCCCCTTAATACCAGGAAGTTGTAAACAAAGCTGACAGCTATTTGGTTAGCTGCTTCTACATCCAAATGGATGCTGAGCCAGTCGTTTAAAACAGCCTGGTTATTCGCCGATATCGTGCATTTAACAATAATACAGCAAACCCTTTTGTTTTAAAGATATAAAGTTTCGCGAGTATATGTATTTTCTCGCGTTGCTAAACAACCTGACTTTAGCTGCCTTCCGTTTTCTCGTTAGGAAAAGGCTAACGTTTGCACAAGGACGTCAGTGCTAGGTTAAAGCCTGCGAAGTTAACGTCAAATTGAGTATTAATATCCCGACGAATAGTGAGTAACAGCACTCTCCGGTTCTTGTTTTTTCGGCTGCATTTGCTTTCTGGGGGACAGAAAGAGCGAGAATTCGTCCATTTTGGCAGGACAACAATGTCTACATCCAACGCTAATTTCAAAAACAAGTGTGTGTCCCAGGTGAACTGCATATTCTGTGAAAGTCTGCTCTGCACAAGAGGCATGAAAGCTGTGCTTCTTGCAGACACTGAGGTTGAGCTTTTTTCGACTGATATTCCTCCCAATAGGTAAGTGCTAGTCTAGCTAGCATAGCTGCTGGCCTTTGTTTATGTCTGTTGTGTTGTTACTTGAAACGACCTGTAACAAACTGATGTCTAACTGATCATTTGGTGTTAATGGGCACAAAGCATTGACACCCAAACTATGATTTACTGTGTTTGTTGCATGGACATGTTAATTTAATGTGTGTTTTAACCTTTTATGGCTATGTTTGTTTCTCATTACACGCACCCTCCCCCCAGAACTGTTGATTTTGTGGCCAGCTGCTACTCTACTGAAAGCTGCAAATGCAAACTGAGAGACATCGCATGTCTCAAGTGGTATGTAAAGCTTTTCAATAGCCTACAGTGTTTGCTTTAAGAAGACCATCTGTTGATGTAAAATGTTGATAAGAAGCACAGCAAACAAGGTCTTCTTCCCATGTAGCAGTTTTTTTAGATGATACACATGTACTGTAGAACTGCAACTACTCAACAGTCTTACATTTAGAGTTATTAAATTACAAGGATGTAAAACTGAAAATGCAGAAATGTTTTCATAGTTGATGACCTAAACCAGAGAATATTTAGTGTTTCTACTTGACTCTAAATTAAATAGTTGCCCATCATTTTCTGTAGATGACATAACAACTGTTTTCTTATTGAGCAGATGTATTTCTAATATAAGTTTAAATAAGGGAAATTTAATCTGTAATCGCTTCATTGTATGCAACAATAAGAGGTAACATTTCGGCTTCATACACCTGTAGTTAAGGTGACATTTGGCATTCTAAAGTACAGTTTAGTGCTACAGTGAGGTGTTTTTCGCTCTTTTGTATCTAAAGCCTTTGTTGTTGTTATACACAGGGCAAAAACAAACATCTCTTAGATAATAGACACCCGCTAGTGGAGTAAGCATTTTTCAGAAATGCCCACAGTAAATTGCTGACACTTGTTCTTCTTTATTCTCTCTCCCTCCCTCCCTCCCTCTGCCAGTGGTAATGTTGTGGGATATCATGTTGTTGCTCCCTGTAAACCCTGCCTGCTCTCCTGTAACAACGGCCATTTCTGGATGTTCAACAGTGATGCTGTATCTACTCTCAACAGACTGGATGCGACAGGTTAATATAAGCTCTACTTGAAAAAAAACTGGAATTCTTCTTCCCTGTTTAGTGTGTTTAATTAGCCTTCTTCACCTTCCAATGTGTCTGCAGGTCTAAATCTGCTCCTGTGGGGAGATCTTCCTGAACTGGATGACAGTGAGAATGAAGAATCAGAAAGCCCATCAGAGGAGGAGTGTATTAGGTAGAGAGGGAAATGAACAATGTGAGAGACATGGTACGCCAACATTTGAGGTGGAGCTAAGAGTGTACAAACCATACTTGAGATAAGAGAGACATTTCATGTTTCAAAGGGTTATTTAATACTTCATGAAATCGGGCAGAGAAGGGCTGTTGCACTGCTCTGAATTCATGAAATGCTCAAACCAAGGTGCACATCTGGCCACACCCCAATCAGTGATGTCACAGCAGGTGTTTTACCTGATGGAAAACACCTGCTGTGACATCACTGATAGGGATGTGGACAGAAACACAACTTGCTCCAAAGTTAGAAACAATAGAGAAAAGTACAGCCGAAGCTTTTGGCCCAGTGTAATTTAGTGTTGAATTTCACTTTACCATTCCTTTCCCCATCACTTTACACTGTTAAAAGCACACCAGCACACAATGTCACACACGCTCTCTCCTTTCCTTTTCTCTGCACATCTGCATGGGCTGCTATAAAACATGTGGCTGAAGTAGAATGAAAATGACAGACAACTAGACTTCTTAATCTAGTGCATTCTACTTTTCATCACAGAGTCTCCCCTGAGCTCATGGTTTTGATCAAACTCATTAGAAGTTGGGGTTGTTCTCTGATAGGGCAGTGGAACCTTTTAGCAAATGCTGTGCTTTTTTGCTTTCAGTCCAATTTTCTGATGAGAAGAACACTTTCCTTCCGCCTACTTTCAGTTTAATGGCAGTTATAATCTGTACATTGAAGATGCTGTGATACGCAAAAACTCCCATAAGAGTTATGTCTTAAGGCTTGTATTCTCTCCGTGTGGCTGGGTGCTGTCTGAAAGCTGGGGTGCTTTTGGAATCCTGGATATTGGAGAAATAGCACAATGATTGAATGATATATATATATATATACAGTATATATATTTGATTTAGGTTACCTCACGATCTGACATTCTATCAGTGACATTTTGATATGCTAATACAGTGTTTGTAACCCAATCGACAGCAGCAGTACGAGTCTGACTGTAGCAGTATCTGATACTAACATACTAACGTATGCATAGGGTGTGCTTCCACATAGACCTGGAGCAGTTGCATTTTAAAGCTGAGTTTTTTTGGTAAGAGCTCAAATAAAAAAATTAAAAAACTCCTAGATAAATGATATACTGTAGGAAAGCTGGAATGGGAGCTGACGAAGATGCAGGATGTGGATCATAAGCAAAATGAAAACATTCTGAATTCTGAGTTCTGAATGAATGTTGGTGTCCATGCTCTGTTTTTTTTAACATTACTATTCAATTTCATGTAGCAGAATAATTGTAGCACCAGAGAAAATCCCCAAAGAATCATGGAACATATCATATCGAACCGACAGACTGCATCCCCTTTATAAAAAAAATGGAATGTCATTTTTGGCCAGCTTATTGAATTGCATTTCAACATTTTAAGTAATCTGTCGTGAAGTTACCCCTAAATATTGTATTGGCCTTACTGATGCTTGGATGCTGTCACTGAACCTTTGTTAATCTGTGGAGGTTGATGCTGTAAGTGAGTCTGTCGTCTCTAGCTCGGTCTGTTGTGAAAGACACAAGCTTCAACATCCCATAGTCACAAGGGACTTTACTCAAATCAGTCCTTTTTTGGCAGTGCCATCCTTCTGCTCTTGTTATTGTTTCACTGCTGTGCCCTGCTGATACTATGATGCTGTCTTAAAGTAACAGTCCTTCTGTGAGTGAATAGGATTTGCCTGCATTGCGGGCAAACATATAATTATACTTCTTACCTGAAGGAAAAGGATATAGGTATTTTTTAACTATAATTGGCCTCTGTGTTTATCTATGCGATAGCCTTTAGCTGTGGAGAAATACAAAGAAATATTGTCCAGATTTTCACTTTAAAGTCATAACTTACCGTCTGATACACTTGCACACCAAATACTGTTTATGTGGTAAACTGATAGGAAACCGTTAATCAGCTCCTTATTTATTAAATCCACAAACCAAAAATCTATAACCACATACTTCCTTTTTCGTTTACAAGCTTTGTTTACAAATGCATTGGTTTGTAATGTGCTACAGTGCTTATGTTTTGGTTCAGGTATTTCATATTTCATTTGTGTGTAGTGCTTTGTTTTGTACGTTTTAAAGGTTGGGTGTGTACAGTTTTACCTCAAGAAGGTATCACTTGTGAGCTTCCTCTGGCTAGGACAATTGTCATGATAATCATATAAACATTATTTAAATTGCTGTTTCTGACGTGAAAAACTTTTATTAACATGCCCTGCTGAAAAATGTATATTTTGGAATTGCACTGAAACTGCATTGGTAGTTTAAAAATGATTTGTTGTTTTGTATGCTTGTTAAATTAATAAACTTTTTTTTTCAAAATATCTGAAATACTCTGTAGTTTTGTTGTCTCTTTGCTGTGCTCAACAGAAAAATGATACCCATACACTTGCATACATTAACTAATGTTTTAGTTTTTACTTTACACTGCTATACAGGTCCTATAGATTTGTTTTATTGTCCCCAGGGGGAAATTCATTTTCACATCACTGTACATGAACACAATATATAAACAACAACAATAACACAGACAACAACAGATAACGACACACATGGCAGTTAAACTCAGCGAGGTCTGTCTTTTTCCAAAGTGAGCCCTTTTACATTTCGATGTTCTGTACCTACGCCGTTATCCAGTTATATGACTTGGAGAAAACGATGAACATGTAAAGTGCTTTGTTTTTCTGGCTGTAGTGAACGTAATGTTTTACATTTCAACTGTATGTACGAGTCGTAAACGGTGTATGTAAAACATGTTGTGCATTTTAGAAATTAACATATTTATCTTATTTGAATATATTCTGATTTGGAATTTACAACACTTTGGCGTTATTTGAAAAATAGGAATCACACAAGTTGGAAACAATCCTACGGAGCAACTAATATTATTTGAGCCACTAATATTATTTGTTTAGTCTAACTGTGCAGAAATACCTGGTTTAGACATACTGAATACACATGCAAAGGAGCATTCCAATTTTGATTTAGAATTTGAATATCAACGTTATGAATTAAGCTTTGAACCTTTAAACAATTTGGTACAGCCCTGCTTACATTGACACATGACCCTCTGTTCTTGTGTACTTGTTTACAGTTTTCCCACCAAGAAGGCATATTGACTTTAGATGTATCCTTCTTTACAGGTTACAATTTGAGGAGATAATCAGCTCTGCGTAGAAAAAGTAACTTGGATACGTGTCAGAAATCAAGAAAACTATAGGTCTACTTATCAGTAATTCGAGATTTTAAAAGAATTATGAACCACATGTGCACCAAGAAAGCAAGCAAAAAAAATGAATCTGACTGAAGTTCAGTAAATTAGTTTTTGCATACCTCCTTCGCAAGAATTCTCTGCTGCTGTTAGGACATGTGCAGGGCAATTTAGGTAGTGAAGGCAAAAAGCATGAAACAATGTGTTTCTATCTTATTTCACTTAAAGTCACTTTGCTTCAACATGGGTTACTCCTATAAGAATATTTTTTTATACTGAATGCAGAATGTTGTTGAATGTGAGCATAACACTCAGACAAAAAACAAAGAAGTATTTCATGTAATATGTTTCCTCTCTGCCCCAGTGAGAGCTTCGTTTGTCATGTAGAGACGTATCTTACTGAACAACATGCTAATACAAGTCCAACAGATTACATCCTGTCACACCGGCACTCAAGTACAGGAAACAACCACAAAAGGCAGCCCGATATTCTAGATGGTTATTGTCAACCAAATATGACAGGATGAATAATCTGCTCTTTTCAAAGTACACACATGCACAAAACGTGGATCAGCTCGGACAGTGTGGAAAGGTTAGTATAGTCTGGAAGACAAATTGTTCTGAAGGTAAACACGCCACAAATAATAGTTCAGAACCACTGTGTTTTGGACTTGATGGAATTGCCAATTTATTGACACCCAAAGAGTTTACAACTGTTTTTTATTTGAATTTGTATGTAGAGTTTCAAACCCCCATTCTGTATGAATTATATTTTTGTATCATTGATTATTTAATTATTCCCCCTGTTATGCTTCTAATACGTATTTAAATGAAACAGCCAAAAAGGGGAACTTCCTCCTTTGCTTGCAACCTGGGACAATGAGACCCTTTGGAGGGACGTCGATATTACTGGTTTATCGCAGGGATGTAATCCACTTTGCATTTTATTTGTAATTGTTCTGTTTTCAAGCCTAATCTCCTGATTGCTTTCTCTGATAGAAACAACGGCTTAATGTTATTGGTGTAACAGATGAGTTTTGAGCTGAGCAGGAAACCAGGCAGACAGGTATGAAGCTAATGTGGCAGCTGTTTGAGTGAGCTGTGTGAAAAGTGGACAGGTGTTTTAAACACAGCAGCTACAAGCTTGGCAGGTGTGAACTGTTTTACATAAACAACTGCCAGGTGAGTATAGAAGCAGAGTGAGGATAGGAGGTCCTCTACTTGGGAACAGCTACAATGAAGCAGGGCTCTATTTATCATTATTGTTTTTAAATGACTTAATGCTTACACAATTTTGATCTTATTAAGCAAACATGAAAATGGGCCTTTTTCCTGGCAGCTTTCTGACATGTGGGGAAGCGCAAATGACATTAATGACGACCTTGTCCCATTAAAATGCAGCGTGAAATTCAATGAATGTCATTCATTACTCCTTTTCCTGGCATGACCCTGGTCAAAAAAGCCCTGACCACATTAAAGGCAAGTGCCTCAGGAATAGGTCAAATAAAGAGCATATTGCTTAGTGAAAAAACACTCAAGTAGTAGTTTAATTAAAAAAATGTATTTCAAATCTTTCCAAATTATAAAATAACAATTTTTTTCTGATCTGTCCAAATACTTACTCATTCACTTCTGAGATGTGTGTTACAATTGATTCACAATGTGAAAAAGAAAGGTCATATCTGTCGTTTTGGTATATGAGGACATGTCAGAGTAGAAATAACATGACATTTTGTTATATGGAAATGTTTGAATTAAATCAAATCATTTTCTTAAAGTCTCTGCACATCAGCCGCAGGTACTTTTAATACTGGAAGATTGGAAACCCCCCAAATCAAATCTGAAGTGTTATGCTCTCATGTTTTATGCCCTTTTGCGTTTGTGGAAAAATCATAAAGAGCACTCTGGTGCACTCTGTTGGATATGTGGTGATACTACATTATTTATACACACTTGGGCAACTTACATTTTTTATAAATTGTTATGACACAACATTGCACACATAAAGCCCTACCACCAAATTATTTTAGATTATGATAAACGTTTACAATATATACATTTAAATAATCCTTTCGTAGCAAAAGTTGTACATGTCACACATTTGTTCTGACTGTATTTGTCACAAAATGTATCCCCTCTCTATATTCAGAGAGGATTCCCTACCATCAAGTGTTTGATTTTAAAGATATTTTAGATCCTGCCTAATAACCTGGTTGAAAACAGAGAATTTCCTCTCTCTTAAGTCAAGTTATGACGAGTCACTGACATTTGTTTTTGCTTTTTATTTCACATCAGGCAGAATCAAGTCAAGAGACAGGTGTTATCTGCCGTCATTGCTCCAGGAGCCAACAAGCTGCCTCTCTTCTTTTTTGACTTTTTATCCGATGGCTTCTGTACGGTGGACTTGCCTTCTTCTCTGATCCCTGTCCTCTTTTTTCAGCATCTGCTTAAGTGAGGCATTCTCCTCCTCTGCTCTTTTCAGTGCAGCCATCATCTCTCCATTGAGCTTCTGCTGCCCCAGCTGTGCGAGGTTGGATGCTTAGATTTTCTGAAGCTCCTTCTCAAAGTCCAGGGCCTCCAGAGCTTTGAGATCAGTCACCTCCTCCATCAGATGGTGTTTGGCCCTCAGCTCCTGGGGTTTCACTTCATGCCACATGGTGTTTCTGTGTCCCCGCACAGTCGCTGGTGTTTACTTTTGTTTTGCTGGTTCTCAATGCTAATTTTTCCCCGTCTGACAACTCTCTGGTTTGCTGCTGCTTGCATCGTTGCTGTTTAGCAGCTGAGTGACTGAGAATACTGCATGTGTTTGTCAGTAAAACATTTATTTTGCTTCACGAGATAAAAGGCTGATAGATGCTTTACTTATCAATAAACATTTCCATCTCAATTGATGATGGTTGGTTTGGTGGTTGGTTTAACATATAATAAAATCATTATTTGGACTGAAAACAAGAATGAACTAGTTAAGCAGTGCTGCACTAAATGTAGATTTAATAAGAGTGTTACAAGTGTGCTTGGACAACAAATAATAATTGAAAAATGATTGTCTGAGACACAAATCGTCAGATTTTAGTTGCACAATTTCTCTCCCACATGATCTCAGTAGAACTGTTGTATTGTCTGTATTGAGACATGAGAGGTCTCTCTTCACATTACATTACAGCCACACTTTACTGCTACCTTTATTTTGATTTGATTTGACCTTTTTCTCATGTATTTGTATGAATCCTCCTCTCAGATATTAAGTAAGGGAGACACCTTTAAATACAGCTGGTTTTAAACGCCTCACATTCAGCTTTTGTATGTTCTTATCACTATGGTACGGTCAGGGCCACTTGCACAGTGGGGATCTGTCAAGAAATAAAGATGTTCTGATATATTTATGAAACATGTCAACCTTTCATTTTCCTGTGATTCAAGCCACAGTGATTTAGGTGAACACTGGTTGTCTTGGTTACATGTGACCAAACATCTTGGTCTTCTGCTCAAAATTATGAAGTAATTATAATCACCTTATGAGATCATTTATAATTAAATTTTAAATTATTTACAGATTATCTAGAGTTAACCTCAGGTGTCCTTCAGGTACAAATAAATACCTGAAAAAGGAAAATGAGATTCCAGCCAAGAACTATTGCTAAAGCAGTGGTGATGAGTCAATAGTCAAAAAGTAAGTACAGCTTAGATAAATGTATCTTATATAAACATCACAGTAGCATTAGAGTTATAACACATTTATTTTTGTATTTAGTAAATTGTGTAATTCTTTTTATTTTGTATCTTTAATATTTGTTTCAGTTTTTTATGCATACTTCTTGTTAAACATTAAGCTGTCTTTGGCTCTTTTTCCACTGGAACAAATGTTAATGTCCCCTCTGTGGGACGAATAAAGGTATTCTGATTCTGGTTATGCACAACACGTCTACAGGCTTTAGATAGTAATACACATCCACAAAGACTTCCAAGAAAGAAATACTACAGTGATTTCCACAAACATTCATTCACAGATGCAACCTTAAATATGTTTACAAAATGCAGGTAGGTTTGAAAATAATACAATTGTGCTATTTTATACAGTGTTGTACACATAGTTTTGCTGTTTTAACAGAGATC